AAGCTCTCTGAGACTCCGAGCAACATCCAATATTGTTGGCAAAGACTCGCTATCCCAGCCAGAGAGAGGAGAGCCGGACGGTGGCCGGGCTCCAGCCAGCCAGCGTCGCTCACATGCTGTAGAGCAGAAAACATTACTGGGCTGGACGTTACTGGGAGGTTGCTGCGCTCAGAGCTGGAATTGCACGACCCCAGACGGGTGTCAATTCTGGCTCAAGGCTCCTCCTGGTAGGAAACTAGGAAATGCTCAGTGCTGGAGGGTATAGCGCTTTCAGGATCCAAAAAGGGGGACTCATTTTTGGTTCCCTTTGCCTCAGTTTATCTATCAAAGACAGGCTTATCTGCTCATGCAAGGAGCAGGGGAAGCTTGGATCCAGAGACTCCTCTCAGAAGCTGTCCCCTTTAGTAGAGCCTGCAGTCCAGCAGCCAGTCTAGTAGTAGGGGTGGCTGTTCTTTGCTCTCCCAGGGGGGACTCTTTAAGGAACACGCAAATGGTCTGTTTTACTCCCTTGAGTTGTGAACTCCATTTGACTCACCAGCTGAGGCTCCCACTTAGCACTTAAAATCATAGAAATCCTGAGGGCATTCTGCGCCAAAAAAATAAAAATTGTGTGCACAATATTTTAAAATTCTGCCCATTTTATTTGTCCAATAAATATGGAGGCCCCAGCATGGCATTGGGGAGCACAGGCCACTGGCTGCACCCAACCCTGACACAGCGCAGGGACCAGGCCTGGCCCAGAAACACCCCAGGGTCCTGCCCCTCCACCCAGGTGTGGGTTGTGCAGGTTCTGTGTGGGGCGATCTGGATGTGGGGAATCAGAGTGTGGGGGGTATCTGGATACACAGGGGCTTGTTGCAGGGGTTCTGGGTGCAATGGTAATGGGACTCTGCAGGGGGATCCGGGTGAAGGTGGCTGGGGCTCAGCGGGGAGAGGGGTCTGAGTGTGTGTGTGGGGGGGGGGACAGAGCTCGGTAGAGGGTAGGAGGGGGCTCAACGGGGGTCCAATGCCGGGGGAGTGGGGCTCATTGGGAGGGTAAGGCTCGGTGGGAAGGTCTGGGCATGAAGGGGGGGGAGCTTGCAGAGCTTCCTGCAGGTGGGGCAGAAATCTGGAGGTGGGTCTGACTCTTCCCCAGATGCCGTGCAGAGAAAAAGGAAGTCCCGTCCTCCCCAGCCCAGCCGGGACTAGCAGCAGAGCCCAGCTCAGGGTAGGAGCCACCAGTGGGGTCTTCCCCAGTCCCACCCCTTGCCCTACAGTGATTTACCTCTCTGGTGGCTGCCCTGGGCACCCAGAACATATTGCTGGGGAGGGCCGCATGACTGCTCTTTTGGCTTCCCTTTGCTTCCCCATCAGAAAGTCATTTTCCTGTGGGGAAGCAAAGAAATCTGCGGGGGGCATAAATTCTGTGCATTTGCAGTGGCGCAGAATTCCCCAGGAGTAAAATGTAGGGTTGGAAGGGACCTTGAGAAGTCAAGTCCAGCCCTCTGAGAGCACTGAGGCATGACCCAGTAAACCTAGACTGTCCCTGACATCTGTCCAACCTGTTCTTAAATAACTCCAATGGCCAGGGTTACACCAACACCCTGAGAAGCCTTTGGAGGAGGGGTTTCTTCTCCCTCACACAGTGGCGGGGTCTGTGATTCCCATTTCCTGCTTTCCCAGGGTCTGAGCCTGGGCTGAAGTCCTTCTGTTTTATGCCAGCAACTCTAACTCCACCTTAGTGACTTAGTCGCAAGGCTGTGGCTAACATGGCTTTAGTGGAGACAGGGCCTGGGAGAGAATGGCCAAGCCATCTTCAGGTGGCACTGTCCTGCCATTGTTGTGCTTTGGGGTGCCCTTTTCTGGGGGTGCCTCCTTCAGATTGGCAGGGCTGGGGGGATGGACACTTCCCCCTCTGGGCTCCAGCAGCAGCAGGCCCATCTCTGCTTTATTCCTTCAGGCAGCCCATGTTTCATTGACTCTCCCCTGAGCTGGAAATCTCATCAGTGACTCTCCTGAGCTGCCTCCCAATCTGCAGAGTCTAAGGACTGGTCTACATTTAACATGCTACAGCTAAAGCGCTTCAGTATAGACCAGTGATCCCCAAACTACAGGGCATGTTCGGGGAAGAATTCATGGAGGAATATTCTGGGTGTGTGTGGTGGGACCTGGGCCAGTGCCCTGGGGCGGGGGGAGGCAGAGAGAGAGAGAGCACCACCCCGTCTGGCCCCACCTACAGCCCAACTCCTGGCCCCCCAACTCCTGGCCATGGCCCAGCCCCACTCCTGGGCCCAGCTCCCAACCACGACTCCTGGGGCAGGGGGCAAGCAGATTGTATTAGAGGCGGGGGGGGGGGGGGCATGACTAAAAAAGTTTGGGGACTATTGGTGTAGACACTCGCTACAGCAACAGGAGGGGTCTCCTGTCGCTGTAGATAATCCACTTTCCCGCGAGGCAGTAGCTAGGTCCATGGAAGGTGGGGTTTAGGTCGGCTTAACTACGTCTCTCAGGGGTGTACACTTTTCACACTACAAGAGATGTAGCTATGCCAAGGTAACTTTTCAGTGTAGAGCAGCCCCAACTTCTTCCCCCTCCCAACCTGCTGGCATTCCTCGCTCCCTCTTCCAGGCCATTAACTCTTCTCCATTTCACCTGCCCCTCCAAGTTTGTCTGGCCAGAGATGAGGAATCTGCCGTTTCCTTCCATTGCACTCACTTACCTCACTCCTCCCCACCTAGTCTTCTTCCTTCTCCCTCTTCCCTTCTCCAGTCATTTCATTGCTGTCAGCTCATCTTTCTTTCCCCAAACCCCAGCATCTGTGCCTGACCCATTTCCTAGCCTCCATGGTCTGCACATCCGTCTCCTCCTTTCCCTGACCACTATGCCACCCTGGCTGGGACCCTTCTCTCCCCATGACCATTGCTCTGTGGCCTCCCTGAGGCCCAGCTCTCCAACACATCCATGGTGCTGCTGCTGCCACCCGCACATCCACCTCTCATTCCAGGCCCCCTTCAAATCCCTCTCCATGCATGTGCTCCAGCATCTTTGCAGGCCCAGCCCCCTCTGCCCCTTCAGCGTCTCCCAGTGCTCTTGGTGCAAGAGCCTTCTGCTCTGCAGCCTTCCTCTGTCTCCGCAGAGCACTGACTGCCAGTCTCCTCTCTCCTCTCCCACTTACTGTCTCTCCAAGTTCAGTGTGCAACTAGTGTCCCTGGGGCTGTGTCCCCGCAGCTGCACAGACCACCTCTCCTCTGGGGCGCCCCTCCCCACCACAAGGAACTGGAGGACTGGATGGTAGGGGCTATCTTGAGCAGCTGCCTCCCTGAGAGCTGAGAGGGGAGTATGCCTGCTGGGGCGGGAGTTCTGTAGAGACTTGATTCGTTCTGCACCTGGAGCGGGATTTCTTGTTATGCTGTAAACACAGGCAGGAGACTGTTGCTGAGCAAAGAGCCCATAGCACACAAAGGTGGGTCCTAACAGCAGAACAAAGGCGAATCTGCTGCCAGCAGCCTCCCTTTACTCCTCCCTCTTCTGGCTGGTGTAATACCCTGGCCACCTGCCACCTTCCTTCCAGTGGGTCATATGAGCCCAGGTTGCACTACCTGCTTGGTATCTCTCCATGTCTGCAGAGGGCAATGCTGGTGGGCAGACTCCACCAGTTGCTGCTGCAGGCCCCAGCACTGGCACTAGGTCCATGCCCCTAATCCAGCCCTAGGTAGGGACACTGAGTGAGGTAAGAATTGGATGTGCTGGGGCCAGGGCACTTGTCTGGCTTGGGGGAGGCAGTGGGGATGGTCAGGCTGGAGTGTGAAGGGGCTGATCTCTGGGGCGGTATGTTTCTACCTTGCACCTTGAAGAGGGGGAACCTGACATCACCTAAAGGAGTAGTGGGTGTGAGGGAGCCGGAGACCAGACCCTACAGGTCTGCCAGGGAGGGGCAGCCAGGGCACAGGAGTTCTGTTTGCACACTGTGCGTTGTTCTCTCTGGACTGCAGAGTGCATGCTGTCCCCATTGTCCCAGGAACGCACGGAAGGCTCCTGTGCAGGGCTCTAGCAGTAACAATGACACACTATAAACAGTAACGCTCACAGTTCCCCTGCAAAGGTTGGTGGGCTCTTATTTTCCCATTGGCCATAGAGAGAGACAGGGGCATGGAGTGGCTTGTACCCAGGAAACCTGTGCTGAGAACAGTCCCTTGGCTGGCAGCAGAGCAGATTACCCAGAAAAAAGGCTACTGTCGTTCCAAAGAAGAGTCTCCCTGGGAAGTTCGGCGGCGTAGCTGTTGTGGTACTGTGTGATAGTGCTGCTGGAATGCAGTACGTGTCCCTGTGTGTAACAGCCTTCAGTAACTTGTCGGTGTCTTCCCCCCGGCTTGTGCCGAGTCCTGTCAGTCATGCTGTACTCCTTTCCCCTGGCTCAGACCAATGCATGTCTTTGGTCTGGAGGTGGTGAGACTTTTAGGTTGGCCGAGGTCAGTGCCTGCGGCAGGTGCTTTCTTAGGGGATTCACTTTGGGTTGGATTCTTTCTGTCTTCCCTTTGTCCTTTCTTCTTACCCAGCCAAGGTGCCTCTTTGCATTGGTTCCCACTGGCTCCCTCTCGGTGACCTCTGGACTGGAGGTGTGTTCACCACAATCCCAGCTGCCAGTTACTTATCTCCGCTCTTAAAGGGCAGCTAAATCAGCTTTCTTAACTGCCAAAGGTGTGGGGGCGTAGAGGAGAGCGTCAGTTCTGACGCTGGCTCTGTCTCCTGCCCACGCATGCTGTTCCTGCAGGTGACAGACGGCACTCCATGTCCCCCTCCTCTTAGAAGGGGATAGGCCCAAAAAGCTCTCCCCTCCCTGAAGGAGACGGGATGAAGAGTGGAGAGGACTTGCAGAGAGGGGTAATCAAAAGCGTCTGAGGCCTGGTCCCTGGCATCCCCTCTGACTGGGGAGGTGGGGCTCTAAGCAGCTTCTCGCCATTGTAACTCTCCTGGGCCAGGCTGTGACACTTACCAAGGCTCTGCTCTTCTCTCGTTGCTAGGCGGGCATATAGGTGAAGGACTATGTCCACAATGGTGTACCCAAGGGAGGAGAAGCTGGACAAGCTGAGCCAGGAGGAGATCATTTGCAACACCAAGCTCGTGATGCAAGGGCTGGAGGCCCTCAAGAACGAGCACAACTCCATCCTGCACAGCCTGCTGGAGACCATCAAGTGTCTGAAGAAGGATGAGGAGGCCAACCTGGTGCATGAGAAATCCAATCTGCTCCGCAAGTCGGTGGAGATGATTGAGCTGGGGCTTGGGGAGGCTCAGGTGAGCGACGGGGAGGCCTGGTAGCAAGCGCATGGGTAGGGGTCACCCAGGGGTCTGGCATAGGAGGGCAGACACAGTACCATGCCATCCCCAGGAGCTGCAGAATCCTCTGCCAGATCTGAGCCTGGCAATGACTAACCTCTGTCTGGAGAGGCAGATGAGGCCAGGGTGCAGCATAGTGGGGCAGCCTTGGGGAGAGGCTGTGCTGGTTCTCCTGCTGGATTGATGATGTTGCCGTTGGCTCTCTTGGCCCAGGTGATGATGGCTCTGTCCAGCCACCTGAATGCAGTGGAGTCAGAGAAGCAGAAGCTGCGCGCCCAGGTGCGGCGACTGTGCCAGGAGAACCAGTGGCTGCGAGACGAGCTGGCCAACACCCAGCAGAAGCTGCAGCGCAGTGAGCAGACAGTGGCCCAGCTGGAGGAGGAGAAGAAGCACCTGGAGTTCATGAACCAGCTGAAGAAATACGATGAGGACGTCTCACCGTCGGTAAAAGTCATTGCTGCAGGGGGTGCTAGCTCCCAGAGCTATCCCACAGGGCTGAACTGAGGGATGGACGGGCCTCCAGGAGTTCCCAGCCTCCATGGCTTGTGCTCTGGACATCCGGCAGTGTGTGTCAGTCATGCCCCTCGGGACTCCTCAAGCCCCAAAAGGAGAGTGCGCTTTCACCTGCCTGAACCAGGGCCTGTCTGCTAAGGAGCCAGCTGTGATGTGGGACCCTGCTGCCAGGACTGGGAGTGAGACTCGGGGTGTGGGGTGGGCTCACTGACCATGGGGCGACTGGGCCCATGAGGTGGGGGGAGCACCTGCCTGACCTCAGTGGGGACTGGACCCTGCACAGGGTGGGGTGGGGAGCTGTCTTACTAGGGTGTTGGCACTTTACACTGATGGTTCTTCCCCTCCCCCTGCCAGGAGGAGAAGGAAGGGGACTCCACAAAGGACTCTCTGGATGATCTGTTCCCGAACGAAGAAGAGGAACACGGCCCAGGAAGTAAGTGGTTCCAGTCCCCCCTGCCCCATCCTCCCACTTTCTCCTGTGGTCTGTCTGCTAGGGCCTGTAATAAGAGCCCTGGCTGGTTTGAGGTGAGTGGGTAGCCCAGCCTGGCTGGTGCTGTGAGCCCAAGTGGCGTGCTGCCCTGCTCTGTCCCACCACCAGCCTGGTTACTCGTGTGTGTGTGTTTGCAGTGCCCCACCAGCACAGCAGTGCGGCGGCAGCTGCCCAGCAGGGTGGCTATGAGATCCCAGCACGCCTGCGCACCCTCCACAACCTGGTGATCCAGTACGCCTCGCAGGGGCGCTACGAGGTAGCTGTGCCACTCTGCAAGCAGGCACTGGAGGACCTGGAGAAGACATCAGGCCACGACCACCCCGATGTGGCCACCATGCTCAACATCCTGGCACTGGTGTACAGGTGAGCGTTGGGGTGGGGAGCAGGGCCCCGCCACTTCTTCCCCATCTACCAGTGCAGGAGTCTGGCAAATGTGGGGCTCCTGCATCTGGCAGAGTCTCCCTTTGGAAACTGCTTGGGGTCAGGTGATGGCCATGAAGCCCAGGCCCCATTAGCCATGGGAGGATTGGGATTTGGGGAGAGCTGTAGGGCATGGGGAGGGATGGGAGAGGGCAGGCTGGAATGGGGTGAGAGCTGTGGTTGATGAGGCTGATTGGGAATTGGAAAAAGTTGCAGGGTTGTCCCAGGCGCCGCGTACTCAGAGTCCCAGCACTCTAGACCTGAACCGTGATACACTGACTTTGTGCTGCAGGGATCAGAATAAATACAAAGAGGCAGCCCATCTGCTGAACGACGCACTCTCCATTCGCGAGAAGACACTGGGGAAAGACCACCCTGCAGTGAGTATCTGCTGCCCTGGCCCTGGGGACACATGTCCCCTGCTGGCAGGGGAGTGGGGGCCAGGTGGGCAGGAGGCATGTCACGTTCCCCCCCGCCCCCCCCATTCTCCATGAGTCACGTGGCTGGGCTGCTCACTGATTGCACAACAGGCTGCCATGGAAAGCCCCGGGTGGCAGGGAATGGGGCTCAGGCACTGGCCATGGAGCACCCCTGGGCATTCTGCCCCTCTACACTGTGCCAGGGGATCCGATGAGGGCACGCGCAGTCCCAGTCCTGACTCCAGCTCTTCTGGGAGGAGTTTGGGTTTTACCCTGGGCATCCTGGATACCTCTGTGCTGCTTCCCTAACGCGCCTGGCCCAGTCAGCTGGGCAGCGTTGCTGTGTGCTGCCAAGCTGCTGCGGTGCCTTGCTCCCCAGGCACATTCCTTCTGGTTCCTTCTCACTTCAGTGGGGTGGGGCTTGTTCCTGTAGGTGGCCGCGACCCTCAACAATCTCGCTGTTCTTTATGGCAAGAGAGGAAAGTACAAGGAGGCAGAGCCGCTGTGCAAGCGAGCCCTGGAGATCCGCGAGAAGGTACCAGCCTGAGCCCTCCATGTGTGCACGTATACACCCTCACCCCTCTTGATGGGCTGCTCCCCATCCCTGAGATCTGGGAGAAGGTATCAGCATCGCCCTCCCACGACTCCTCCTAGCAGTCGGCCCGGGGTGGGAGGGCGGGGAGATGAGTTCATGATTCGAGGACTTCAGTAACTCAGCCAGAGGCGAGGGGTCTATTATAGCAGTGGGTGGGTGAGCTTCTGTGGCCTGCAGTGTGCAGGAGGTCAGACTAGATGATCATGATGGTCCCTTCTGGCCTTAAAGTCTGAGTCCCCAGTGCCCTGAAAAACATCCATCAGGTCCTGTAGTTACCCCCTGCCCCCAGTGCGCTGACCTCTGCCACCTGCTCTCCTGCCTCCAGCTTTGTTTTGTAGTGCCAGAGTCTCCATCTCCATTCACTGCCTATGGACCTTTTCTCTGAATCCCCCTGGCATTTGGCCACCACTTAGCTACAGGCCATGCCCTTGAGGAACCGGCTGGAGTCTACTTGTTCCCTGCCTTTTAGCTTCTGGGAGTGCTGGGAGTGCTGGCATGCTAGAGTTTCCCTCATTAGAGTAGGGCATTCCCAGGAGTCCAAGGAGGGGCAGCCATGGTGTCCCCATGGGGCCTGCAGTGATCTTGAAGGGGTTGCTGTCTGAGGCCTCCCTTCTCTGGCTTCTCCAGGTTCTAGGCAAAGACCATCCAGACGTGGCCAAGCAGCTGAACAACCTGGCCCTGCTGTGCCAGAACCAGGGCAAATACGAGGAGGTGGAGTACTACTACCGCCGAGCGCTGGAGATCTACGAGAGCCGCCTGGGCCACGACGACCCCAATGTGGCCAAGACCAAGAACAACTTGGTGCGTCTGCAGGGAGACAGAGGCTGTCTGGGTGGCATCTGGGTCAGTGGGGGAGGAGCTGGGAGAGCTGACTGGGGGGCCTAGGGGGTATTCATGGTCCCATGTGGCCCAGTGGGGCTTGACAAACTCTGTCTGTTGGCTGCAGGCCTCCTGCTACCTGAAGCAAGGCAAATACAAGGATGCTGAGGTGCTGTACAAGGAGATCCTCACCCGCGCCCACGTGAAGGAGTTTGGCTCTGTGGATGGTACGTACAGCTGGAAATGGTTGGGGGAAGTGGGGAGCCTGGCTATAGTTCTCATTCCAGCTGTGGGACTGGCTCTATGCAGTGTCCCCTCTGCTGGCAGGGCGAGTCCCTGCAAAGCCTGCTGCGCTCTGCACCCTGCCTGGGCTTGTCTCTGTGCAGTTCTCCGCTCTCAGACACCTGACTGGGAAGGGAGAGGGCCCCCGCTCCCCTGCAGGGCTGGCACCACGAGATCTAACCAAAGACCTTGCAGGGCACAGTGACACTGTACAGGGTGGCGAACAGCTGTCCTTGCGCTGCCATCCCTGGGCATGGCACCACCCTGCCCCTCTCCCTCAACCATACAGAGTGGCTGGAGGCTTTCCCTGGACTAAGGGGAAGGTCATTTATGTGTGCGGAGCAGGTCAGTGACTATGAAACCAGCAAGGGATTAGCAGCCCACGAGCAGGGGATGCAGCCCCTGCTGGGGTTGGGGAGAGCCCCACAGGCAGTGTCCTGTGGAGAGAGCCGGAGAGGTGCATTCTAAAGCCAGTGCCCCAGGATCCTGGCTGGTTCTAGGTGGGGAGTGGGGCTGCAGCGTGTGCCAGATGCATAGGTGGGTAGGGCGGAGCTCCGGAGCGAGGTTGTGAACAGCACTCTGTTGTGTTTTGCCCCACAGATGAGCACAAGCCGATCTGGATGCACGCGGAGGAGAGGGAGGAGATGAGCAAGGTGAGGGTAAGAGGTCAGATCAGCACAGCCTCTGACAGTGGAGACAGCCCAGTGGCTCAGCTTTTATGCTGGGGGTGGGGAGGGTCCTGTCCTGGGAGCTGGAGTCTCTTCTCTTCCCTAGGGGCGGGAGGGGAGTCTCTGCTTTCTGTAACCCCTCTAGAGCAGCAGATGCTGCAGCTGGTCACAGCCAGCAGGGGAGGGACAGCTGGGGCAGGGTGTAGGCATAGGGAGGGAGGCAGGGTGCTGCAGCTGGGAAGGGGCGTGGCAGAGGGGGAGGTGCTGCAATTGCTCTCTTGTGCCTGTGTGGGAAGGAGAGCTGTGCTCTGGCTGGGGGGGAGGCCCGCTGTGTGTCTAGCTGTGCCTGCATGTTTTCTCTTTGCTTGTAGTGCTCTCCCTAGGACACGCTGGACAGCGGAAGATGGCAGAATGACAGCGTGTTTCTGTGCCAGAGACTTAGCTTCCAGCCCCAAAGGGCCTCGAAAATCCAGCTCACTCCTGGGTTAGCCCATAAGGCTGATCAGGAGACAGGGAACCTGAGAGGAGAGGCAGACAGGCCTGGGAAGAGGCTGCAGTCTGCTGCCTCCATCATCTCCCCAGAGAACCTTCTGCCGTGTGCTGCTGGAGCCAGAATGGGACCTAGAGTTCTCCCCAGCACCCTGGTCCTTCCAGCCCAGCTCTGAGTGAGGGCAACGCAAACCTTGCCGGCATCTAGAGCCCCAGAGAGCACAGGGCCTTCCTCGGGAGCCAGGCTGCCTTCCTCAGAGCAGCAGCCCTGGCTCCCTGGCAAATGGGAATTGACCCCGGCAGTTGTGAGAGAGGCAGGTGCACTGCTGAGATGGACTGAGCTAAACAGACGTACGGAGCAGGTGTCCCTTCTTATGCAGCAGGCAAGACGCAGGAGCCCCAGCACACCTCCCTTACCCCCTCTGTGCAAATGCAGCAGGGAGGCCTCTCGCCTGTGTGCACAGACCCTGTACCGGGAGCCAGTAGTCAGGATTGGCAGAGTCGTCATCTAGGTGGCCAGGCTGGAGTTTGAGGGCTTGAGTAACAAACTCTAAATGCTGCAGGTGCTGGGCCCCTCTGAGATCCCACCCTGTGTCTGGAAGCTGTCCCAGCTTCTATCCTGCACAGCGCAATCTAGTCTAGAGCCTCTGTGCTCCCCAAGCTGCAGTCTCTTCACCTCCCAGTCTAGTCCCTGTGGGATGCTGAGGACCCCTTGAGAAGCAGAGCACCATGTGGGGCAGGACTGCAGAGACTAGCACGCGAGCTGTGAAGAATCATGGTGGCCGTGCCATTGCTGCTCTAAGCTAGTTCGCCCCTTGGGTGCTCTGTGCTGCCTGCACCCACTGCTCCACCTAAGCAGGGTGGTGGCCCGTGGGCCATGCTGCCAAGAGCCTGCTGGGTTGATACCAGCATTTGTTGTATCGATGGTCAGTTACAGGTCAGCTGGCTGTGCAGATAGCCTGGGCTAAACAAGGCCTCTGGGAAAGAGGAGGGAGTGACATGGCAATTGTCAAGGCAAGATTTCTAGCACCCGATAGCATTTGCGGGGTCTCCTCCAGTGGGGGTGCCAGTTCTGAGCAGTGGAGGAGGGAGAGCCTTTTTGGCTCCAGCTGGGTTCTGTCGCTGAGGCCTTTTGTGGACGTAGGGTTTGGAGCTATTGTTGGAGCTTGTTAATGTCTCCCGAAAGGAGGGCTGGTGCCAACTCTTGCCACTGGTGGCTGTGCTGAATGTCAGCCTGCCTGTAAGCAGCCTTTGGGAGCTGGGCGATGGAAAAGGTGGTGGTGGCATTGCTTGGAGGCCTGCTGCAACTTTTCCATCCCTGCCCATCTGTCCGAGCGCTGTGCAGGGCCTCGAGATGATCCAGCCAGGGATGAAGGTCAGTTGACCGTGCTGAGCCCATGAGGTCTGTTAGTTGCCTTTGATGCCATTGCCCATACAGTTCTGTTGACTCCATTGTGGCCCCTGACTGGGGTGACTGGGCTTGCTCCTGAGAGCTTCTGCACCTGGCCACCTTGTCACCTAGGCCAAGGCCACTGCTGTGCAGAGCTCCACAGGGTACTGTGGTGTCCCCCCTCCTCTATGTGCAGGGGAGGTGCAGTGCCACCTGCCCAGATGGTGCAGGGTCAGTGCTCTCCCAGGGCTGGCTGAGAGCTGGCTGGCTGGAGGCTCACCCAGAGAAGAGATGCTGCTGGTGGTGTTTAAGGGGCCGATCTCTAGAGATTGACAGATGACATGTGGCCACCTCTTGTCAGTGGAGCTTGCTGCTCGGCTGCTGTCAGGGTATGTTGCTACGCAGAGGCCTGCCTGCGCTGCTAGCCTTAGTGTGTGGGGTTGCTGAGTGGAGCGGCTCCGTGTCCTGTGCATTCCGGGGCTCCATGGCCAGGTACACGGTGAGCCCTGGCTCAGAGATGAGGAGCCTGACAGGGTATGTAAGGGGATCTGGCGAGCCTGCAGCCCCCTCTCTGTTTGCATGTGCCAGGAGGCTCCAGGGAAGGCCCTTCCTTTGGGAAGGCAGCTCCCATGTCCCCCTGCTCTCCATGGGCCTTAGTGTTGCTCTGACAGATGGGAGCAGCTCCCTTACCAGGGGGACTTGGAGAGACAGCAGCTCAGGCTAGTAGACCACTCAGGTCTTTAGTCACCAGCATCCCTGCCGGAGCCCTGAGGGCTCACATCTGCTACCCACCTCTGGGCCCTGCCTCCCAGGCCTTGTGCATGCGCCATCCGCACACAGTCCCAGAGCCGAACTTCTGGCCTGGGGCGTACACCTTTCGCTGCGAGCTAGAGAAATGAGCTGGCCCCATGGCTCTCCTGCTGCCGCCACAAGGAGGTTCCACCGGGGTCCCTGAAACTGCCTTGGCCGGTACAGGGCATGGTGGCTTCTTGCGCCTGTTCTGCCCCTTCCTGCTCCTAGCCCAGAGCAGCTCTGAGCTCCAGCTGGGAAGGAGTGGCTCCAGCACCCGGCTTTCCTGGGAGCTGCATTTGAGTGGTGTGCTCTCTCCTCGGGGCCAGGACTGGGCCTTCTCTTCCCTATATAGGGCTGAGATACTTTCCAGGATACTGCTAAGTATGTGGGGGGGGGGACACCCCTCTGTCTCCTGCTAGTGGAGGTGGCTTCATGTGTTGGGCATTCTGCAGTGCAGTGATGCTGGGGCCAGCCGTCCCGCAGGGCATACTGTGGCTCCCCTACAAGCTAGCAGCAGTGGGCGGGGGGTAAGGAGAGAGCTGTGTTGTGGCCAGTGGGAGACGTGCATGCTAGCCTAACCCACAGGTGGTCCCTGTTCCCTTGAGCTGTGCTCTCTTGGTTCTGCTTAGCACTAGCCCAGCCCCTGGCTTGAGGGGTGTTGCTCCCATTCCCTCCCACGCCTGGAGGCCCTCCCCTGCCAGACCTGGTTGCCTGTCTGTTTTCTCCTATTAAAAAGCATCATACCCATTTTGACAGAGCTTCACTTTCTTTCTCTTTACTTCCCATTTCACAGAACATCGCGATGGGGCTGAGTGCCTGGGTGGGGTGGATTTACTAGCAGCCAGGCAGTGGCGGGGGCACATGCGGGGATTGGGCAGGGCCAAGGCAGGAGCTGTGCCCCCCCTGGGGAGGGAGGGTGTTGGGCATGGCAGTGGCAGCTGGAATGCCCCTGGGCTCATGGTTTGGGAAATGCCCACTGGTAGGAATAGCCTTACGCTCCCCGTGATGTGGGGGCTGGGAGGGAGCTCTGTGGTGATATCCTGGCGGGAGAATCAGTGGGTGTTTAAAGGCAGGGCTAGGAGATCGACAGAGTCTGTGTCCCGGCCCTTATCTCACGCTGCATGAGCATGCTGTAACTGGGATGCTCCAGCCCAGTCCCGGACGTCTACACTGCAATTTCATAGTCCCTCGGCCTGCGTCAGCTGACCTGGGCCAGCCCCAGGTGTTTTATTGTATGACATGCCTCAAGAGGTGGCAGGTAGATAAATAGCAGGCAGTCAGCAAGAGAAACTCAATTGCTGGGGTCTTGAAGCCTCCAAGCAAACAATCTGTGTAATACAGCCAAGTGTAAATGTATACATCTAGGAACAAAGAATGTAGACCATGCTTCCGTGATGAGAGACTCTACCCTGGCAAGCAGTGACTGAAAAAGCTGTGAGGGTTGTGGTGGATGATTGGCTGAACATCAGCTCCCACTGCATCACTATGGCCAAAAGGACTAATGCGATCCTGGGGTGCGTGAACGGGAATCTCGAGTAGGAGTAGAGAGGTTATTTTACCTCTCTGTTTGGTGCTGCCGGAGTCTGTCCAGTTCTGGTGCCCACAGTTCAAGAAAGCTGTTGATCAATTGGAGAGGGCTCAGAGAAGAGCCACGAGGATGATTAAAGGATTAGAAAACCTGCCCTAGAGTGATAGACTCAAGGAGCTCGATCTATTTAGCCTTATGAGGTGACTTGAGGACAGTCTATAAGTACCTACATTGGGAAGGAATATTTAACAATGGGCTCTTCAGTCTAGCAGACAAAGGTCTACCACAACCCAGGGCTGGAAGCTGAAGCAGTGTTTCCTCATTGCCAGGGGTGGGGTGGGGTGCTCCGGGCTGATGGTATGTGTTCAGGATTGGCTCCAGCCCTATGGATGGGGTGAGGCCTGTACCCGCTAGGGTTATTTAGCCTCCCGCTCTCTGGCCGGAGCGGTCTAGCCGTTGACCTCATGGCTGTGTCATCCTGTGGCCGAGGTGGATGTGCTGGGGGCTCAACCAGCCCCAGAGCCCATTATTCTGACTGGCTGTGCAGGAAGGAGGAACTGAAGCTAGAGGCACACCTGGGCTCACGTGCAGAGGGAGGGCTGGGCATGACCTGTCCCTGGCCCCACATCTGACATGGCTGAGGTGCTTCCCCTTGTGGTCTTGGCAAGGCTGAGTTAGCTTGGGCCGATTCCCTGGCCAGGCAAGGAAAGCCAGCCCTGAGAGAAAGGGCGTGTCTGAGTGTCCCCAGGCTGGCTGCCTGCCCTGGAGGTTGGAGTGAGAGGCCCAGGGGCTGGAATTTCTCCAAAGGGAGTGGCTCTGCCCTGTGGGAAGGCTCCCTGGAGTCGCTCAGGCCAAAATGTTCTCACTGGGGCCTGGAGAAGCCGCCTAGACTGGAGTGAGACTCCGAAATGGGAGGGGCCTGATGTGCAGAGCTGCGAGCCCCACTGCCCTCCCTGGGCACTGCCCCCTCTGACAGCCCCTGGGTGAGGATCTGGGCCTTTAAACCAGCCCAAGGACTGAGTTCTGAATGTTTGGGCTCTTGGCTGTCCCCTTTGTGCAGTGCTTAATTTGTAATGAGAGGAGCCGAGGCTCCAGCAATTTGTTTACGTTCATAACTGGTGCAGCAAGCCCAGCGGTGCCGGGGCTCTGACCTGCCAAGCCCAGCAGTGCCGGGGCTCAGGCCTGGCGCAAATTAAACCCTGCCTTTCTGCCCTGGTGACTATGGGATTAGGGGGCACTGCCCTCTCCCCCTGCCTGGAACATGTGCCCAGGGTGGTGCACATGGCATTGCTACTACCCCAGCCTTGGTTGTGGCACTGCCACCCGTGGTGCTCAGCGCCATCTGCCCTGGTCTTAGGTCTGTTTCAGCCCCAGCACTGCTGGCCCCACTCAGGCTGGCATGGAAACCAGCCACTGTGCTTGTGAAAATCTCCAGGAGCAGTGGCTGGGCAGGCAGGTCCGGCCCCAGGGTGGGGCAGAAAAGTGCCATGCCCCAGCGGGAGGATGGGCTCCAGGGATGGGGTCTGGGATGGCTCTCAAGTCAGCTCTAGGGAGCTCAGGCTGGATGTAGAGCTCCTCTGGGGGCCCCCATAGAACTGGGGGCAGGGATGGAGAGGGGGATGTTTAAATGCTGAGCTGCTGCTGGCCACAGCTATCAGGGTGGGGCTCAGTCCAGCATGGGATGGGGCTGTTCTGGGGGCCTGAGGCAGGCGCCGCTCTAGCTAACCTCTCCTCTCCTTCCCTTGCAGAGCAAACAGAGAGACGGTGACCCCTATGCAGAGTACGGCAGCTGGTACAAAGCCTGCAAAGTCAGCAGGTAAGGTGGGGCTTGGGGAGCCAGGGGGGCATGGCATCAGCATTGGCAACCAGCCCCTCTGGAGCCAAGGGGCTGCCCTGCCACAGCCTTCAGCGCAGTAACAGCCCCTGCAGTGCTTTCCTTGCCTCAGGCTGGCTGCCCTGCCCTCTCCAGCACATGGCCAGGGGTTGGCCTCTTTATCTTGTATGTACATTTACTTTCGTTGTCCTCTGCCTGTAAAGATCCGATTGCTGCAAACCTTGGCTCTCTCACCAACAGAAGTTGATCCAGTAAAAGACATTCCCTCTGCCCCCTTGTGTCTCAGACAGGGGAATCCACGTGCCTCTCTCTAGGGCAGGCTGGACATAGGAGCCGCCTCTCAAACACCCGGGAAGAACCTATTTCCAGCAGGGGTCCCTAACTCTCTGCCCACTCCATCCATAGGCACTCGATGATTTTCAGGGCCAGTGTCACCAGCTGACACATGCTATCTTCCCTGACACTTGAGAGACGCAGTCTGATGCCAGTGACTGTCAGGCTGAGCGGAGTTATGTATGGGGTGCCCTCTGCCAGTTGGTGCGGAGCGGCTGTTAGGGCCAGGGGCGCGCAGCGTCTGTGCGTTCACAATGCCTTCAGGGAGAGTTGATGGCTGGGCCCTCCTGTCCAGAAGGCCAGGCACCTGGTGGCTCCATTCCCCTGCTTTCCCACTCCAGCCCAGCTGTGGCCCAGCTGTTCTCCCCTGGAACGCTCCCAGGCACAGTGTCCCCAGCCACTCCAGAGCAAGGGATGCCAGGAGCTACTGGGGGGATAGATGGCGGCTGCCTCAGCCTCCCATTTCCTCTCGCCCCCAGCCCCACAGTGACCACCACCCTGCGGAACCTCGGCGCTTTGTACAGGCGCCAGGGCAAGCTGGAAGCAGCAGAGACGCTGGAGGCATGTGCAGTGCAGTCTCGGCGGCAGGTAACCCCTGGGATGCCCTGGGGACCTGGGCAGTGGGATGGAGCTCGGGGGAGGGGTTGCTCACTGGCACATCCCCTCAGAGTAGCAACAGGATCTCTTGGGAGTGGGGCCCTGTGATGCCTACCCCCGCCCAGGCTCCCTAGGCTTGGCGGATTTAAATCCGTGCAGTCCCATTGGTTCCCCCGGGGCTGGGGCTTGGGAGGAGTCGTTCGGGGGTGTCTGCGGTACGGGGAAACACTCCTGCCACAGATCTGTTAGCCTGTCCGGTAGCTAGGGAGCCATTCATCTGCACCACAGAAGCTGCTGGGGAGACGGGCGTGAAGAGATCAGACTGACAGTTGGACACACGAGGTCCCAGGCCTGGCGGTGCAGCCGAGAGCTGGCTGAGTGGCTAACAAATGGGTGACTGAGGGGGGCTGGAAGGTAGCAGAGCGTGCCCCGCTCTGTGTAGAAGGGCTCTGGCGGAGATCCTGGAACTGCAGAGCTGGAAGCGTTGCTCGGTACCAGGGGAGGGGCTTGGAGGGTTAATAACTAGAGTGCTGAAGCCCCTGGCTGAACCAGCTGCTGAGCGGGAGCGGCTGGACCTCCCCACGAGGTCCCTCGCAAAGGGCTGCTTGGGACCCCAGGCTGCTAGCGGCAGAGGGGCGTAGGCGATGGCCAGTGGGACTGTCAGCTGTCTGGTCACTCTGCTGGCCAGAGCCCTCCAGCCAGGCTCTGTCCGGCCTGCGTGTAGTGCTCTAGCCGGCCCATTCAGTGTGGTGAGCTAGGTGGTGGGGACGCCCTGCTCTCTCCTTTGCCCTGCTGCCCGCAGCAAGTCTCTCTTGGGCTCTCCCTTCCCTGCTGTGTGTGGTTGTGCCCGAAGGGGACAGCACAAAGCGAGCTTCCCCTCCTCTCCTCCCCCGCCCGAGCGTTCTGGTCCTGGGGATGGGGGCAGGGGGATGGGCCGTGCCACGTCCTGGGGCAGATGGTGGCGCTGGCTCTCAGTAGCAGCCAGGGGCCAGCCCTGACTTGCATCCTCCTGTGCTGACCCCTCTGCAGGGCATTGACCCCATTAACCAGACCAAGGTGGTGGAGATTCTGAAGGAGGGAGCCGGCGCGGAGAGGAGGAGGAGCCGTGACAGCCTGGGGGGCAGTGTCAAGTATGAGAACACCACAGACGGTAGCGAGGAAGTGAGTATGGGCGTGCAGTGGAGCGGGGTAAGTACAAGTCCACCATCAAGAACTGCCTAGGCCAGCCGGGAGAAGCAGGGGGCAGCACTTGCCCAGGGGCCCCTGCTGGAGTGCTGCCCCCTGCAGTCTCAAGGAGCTGATGGCCTGTCGTGGCATCCCTGCCTGCCTCATTCATTCCCTGCACCCTGTCCTGCCTCTCTCGCCATTAGCCAGCCGGGCCAGGGAGAGGAGCGCCCGGCACTCGCTCCGCGGGGTGACTCCTGCTCTGAGGGGCTGCTGAGTCTGGCGTTGGAAATGTCC